GTATAGTACACCATGCTAATAAACGGTACTTCAAAAACAGTGTATAAATATCAAATCATAATGACGACATAAAATGGTTTATAACGTCAATGGTGCACACCCAGGCGAGGCGTCAATTGACGAAAACTTCAAAATTCAAGCTCTGGCTCCTGAATTCCTAGCTGCGGGAATTTGCGCAAAATTTACTCTGTACTTATTTTGAAAACCTAGAGAATGAAAGGGGAGAGATCGTAAACCATGTTTCGACTGTGATTCTCAGAACTTGTAAACCATGTGTTCGGTGTATCCGACTTCTTTGAGTATGCCACTCAACTGCACCACCCGAAACCAACAAAAGAAAGAAAGAAAAAGAAATGTTGATGATGATTGGAAGCAACCAAGGGATGGATGGATGGATGAATGAATGGTTTAGCAGATTAAAACAACAAAAGAGCACACACCTCTCCTTGTTCTCTGTTTTCTTTATCTCCCGATATGTGTTTCATCATCCCAGGAGGCCCGCATACCTGGAAAGCCAAAATAATTAGTTGGACTGGAGGTATGTATTCTAGTGCATGCTGTGAACTCAAAATACAATGTAGTCTGTCTAAATCTAAGGAAGTAAAATGAACATGGCATCTCTGAGAGTTTTTGAGTTTTGAAAGTTCAAATACGGATAAATACGCTGTGCCAGCCATATGGGAGATACATGGCCAGTTTGGGTACATTATTATTCAGGTTATAACAGATGGATTAAAAATAATCAGTTTAAAAAATTCAATTCACATCAGTAATTCATCTAATAGAATAAATGTGAACAACAATCAACGAGTCATCGAGAATTAGAACATTTGTCTATGCACCGGATAAATTCATTTGCGGATGGATGATGGATGAATAGATTCTTTCATATCTCAGGATACTTACGAGGATCAGTGTATCATCACTAGGGGGAGGCAAGCCTTTCACAACCATGTCCTGTGATATATAACCCAAGCCTCCTCTCCAATCCTTTGTTGGATCATCTACAGTGTAGAATACCTGAAAATTTAACCCAAAGCATAAATCTATTAATACAAAAAGGGAAGAGATTACTGTAATTCTTTAAAAGCAGACACAGAACATCTTCAGATTAATTCAGCAAGTACCTTAAGATTTGGATGTGTAGCTGCAAGGACATCAAGCTTCTCTTTCAGGAGTATGTCATCAGGGGACACATTAGCATACAACAATGAGATCTATAATAATACAAGACCAGTCAGTTACTAAATATTAGATTCAATTAACTATCTTGTGCAACTGAAATAGAAAAATTGGCATGTGTGCCGCTTTACAAGCAGCAAATGTGACCAAAACCCACACCAAAGCAATTTATGGCCCCGAGTTTCAATGATGCAGGATCAAAGAATCTAATAATTTTATCTACCTGAGTATTGTCATCGGGATTCTTTAGAATGGCCTCAATGACCTGGAGCATTGGTGTAATGCCACTGCCCCCTGCAATCTGTGCAGTGAAAAGTGAACTTATTCAAGTGTCGATGGATTCAAATGCAATAGAATTTTGCTCATTTTTATTTAACGCTAGGTCTAGTTAGCTTTGTAAGCTAATTGTGAAACATATTCGTTAAACAAGCAACCATAGAAGACCCAATCCAATATACAACATCTGTTAAGATTTAAGAACCCAAACAAGCGACCCATATGATACTAATATGATCACATGGTAACAGCTTTTTTTATTTCTACCATCAATACAATTTCAATATAGGAATTCGGCATGAACTTGAATGTTCAGCCCAGGATTCAAACTTAAACCATGTATCCTCATGCTGCACATATCTACAGTTTATGTAAAGCTCCTAAGTTATATGTCAGACACTCAGACCCAAGAAAGTAACAGAAGCATAACCTGAACGGCCATTTTCGTGTAAAGGAACTAGGATGCATAGAATAAGTTGATGATGGCATACAAGTATAGGCCTAGTCACTATATTCTATATTCCTATCTTCTAGGACAAATTTTAAAAATCACATTTCTTTTGTAAAGCCTACTCACTAGTTAATATGATTCAATATTTCAATTAAACAATTAATATTCATTTGTATCATCATCATTAACATCTTGATGTCAATTACATGTTTGAAATTCGTTACCACTATTAATCTATGCCAAAAAAGTGGCAAATATTGCGTCGGAGTTCATTCTTATTGCAAACTTCTATGCGAGGAATAGTTAGATGAAATTTCAAAACTGTCATCATCTGATCAATCATCATCATCATTCGTTGTTTCCACATGCATGAAAAATACAATGAGACAACGAATAGTGAAGAAAGTTGTTATAGTAATGTACTAATGTCTCATTAAAAACTTATATTGTAAAGTCAACATGCATATCCTGGAACATGGATGTTGATGTCCACTATTGTCTATATGAACATTTTGTGTGTCATTCTTGATTAATTGTTGGCTCCATATTGATCAAGTTGAGTTTGATTATAAACTCTTGAATGCAAACAATTGCTAGTTACTTAGCATGCAGCATGAAGGCCATCAATTACCATGCCAATTTGTTTCTTCATATTTGGGCTATATCGGAGCTTCTCAACGGGCCTGCAAGAGATGTACAATGTCATGAAAATCTATATGTGCATTAACTCACTCTAAGATTAAAACTTCTTAATTAACCAACCCTTTGACTTCTACTTTGTCTCCTGGTTTCAAGCTCGCAAAGTGCTGGCTCATCTTACCTTCTGGGTAAACCTGTACTAAGTTTTAGCTAGTAAACTACATGAATCGTCAATAGAAATGAGTAGTATTCTAATACATGAAGCATGCAACATACTATTAAGCAATAAGATATTAGGCATACCTTGATTAAGAGGTCAAAGTAGCCCTTAGCATCAGGATCTGATACAGGAGTATAACTGAAAATGCAATACACTTCAGAAATCTACTCTCTGTTGACATTTCAGAGTGTAATGATAAAAGAAATAATAGAAACTTTGAACTTAAAATAGTAAGAATCCAAATTCCATAGTGACAAGGAAGCTCAAGTGGAGTATCACTCCATCTACATATGATAGTTGTGGGTTTGAGTCACCTTGGAGGGAAGTGGCGGAAACACTATGGATTCTCTCTTTGTGTGTGTGTGTGTGTGTCTGTACGTGTGTGTTTAACATATTGAGGCTATTAGATAGCTTATAACCATTATGAGCACATGAGACTTCTGTATTATGAATATGCAACCCCTAACCCCGGCAAAGGATGATATTTAACAATCTTGAGTGCACAAAAGAGCTCTATGCTTCGGATTGATATAGAATCCATATAGACACACACACTAAGTGCCGCCAATATTATTTGTCTTTTGACAATTATCATCGCAATGCTTGCAGTAGCAACAGAGGTTACTGTCATTGAAGCTGTGTTAATTTCGGAGATATTATCTATGTTGTTTGCTCATTTGTAGGTCACTGTCTTTTTTGTTATTGATGACTACATTTTGAGGTAAGAGTGTCGTTATTGTGAATACACAAGAATGTTAGTGGAAGTGGCTACAACGATAGTAGGTCAATGAAAGGAGGGTGTGTGGAAAGGGGGCAGTGGTGCCAGCAGGTGTTCAGTGGCAGCATTGGGCATGGCAAGCAGTGGTGGTGGTGGACATTCATTGGAGGTGTGAGGTGCTCAGAGGTGTTTCATTTTGGATGACTGTTATTATGACCAAAGTTTAGAGTTTTTTCCTCTTTTTCCTTTTCAGAAAATATAGTCACCTAAATCGCGGTACGTTTCGGAACGGGTACGCAATACGGGTACAAAATTTGCTAGAGGTGATGAATTCGGTAAGAAGGGGGGTAGGTTCATTTCGGTACGAAGCGGTACGGTGTACCATGTATTTGGTTTGGTGTACCAAAACTCAAAACATAAGTAAACAAAAATAGATAAGATGAGCATAAGTGCATACTGCATAACGTTACAAAATACAATAGAGAAACAAAAGACTGTGTTCAACAGCTTCAGAAACAAGAATAACATTTATGATTGTTCAACAACTTCAACTTCATCATCAACATAACTGTGTGTGTTGCTAATATGGATCTCACTATCATCTTGAGTATTATGGGATTTATTATTTTTGCCAAAAGCCATTGAAAAAAGAGAGAAAAATTGAAAGTAGAGGAATAGAGGTTTGGTTGTGAGTGGTGAGAGTTTGCAGTAGTATATACGGAGTAGTATAATATTTAATTGTAAATTGAATTTTGAAATAAATATTAAAGAAGCTATTTTTTTAATAAGACATTGGAAAGTGGAATTTTAATACGTGCGTGGGAAGTGGGAACTACTCAATTTACGTACATCTGGGAACAAGAAAGTCGCCAATTGGAAGAGGGAAAGTCGCCAATTGGAAGAGGGAAAGTTGAATTGGACTGGTTCACCGTACCACCGGCTATTGGTACGCCAGTATTTCTGACTTGGTGCGCCGTACCAAGGGGCTGGGGACGATTTCAGTTGGCTTTTGGTACGCCGCACCAGCTTGATCTGGTGCGTTGTACCACATCAAAGGGTACGCCGTACCGCCTACGATTGGATTGCTATCAAATTGTGATTGGGTACGCCGCCTACCAATACGAAAGTTGCGGCTTAGGGAGCGAATTCTATGACTATGGACTGAAATACTCCGTATATTGTAATTATTTTATTTTATTCATCCTTCTTTTGTTTTGTTTCAAGGCCAATGTTGGGAAGTCCACTCTCATTTAACTCTTATAAAACATGGCATGATAGTTTATCATAAAAAGCATATGCTCAGTATATGTTTTGTTTTACTCTTAGAGAAATTTCTTGAGTTACGTCTCAGGTACAAGCCGTACAACGTACACATTGATCTAAACCCTGAATATAAATATCACAAAAATCCTGAAGGGTGCTTTGGGACACCTGTGGTGGGAAGGGTCCTATACAATGTTTTTGGTTTAGCGCGTATCATGAAAAATATGACAAGAAAAGCAATGAAACGTAACTGATACAATAAGTGAATATTAGCGCAAAAGTAGAGAAGTCCCTGAAAAAACACAAAGATTGATAGTCAGAAACTAAAACTTACGGGCGGATGACGTATTTTGGTTTTCCTTCAGCATCTTGTTGTCCAATTGGTGCTCTACGAAATGAAAAGGTTAAATAAGTAAATGAACTAACAAAGAAAATATCATTTTAGTGGTTTACCTTGTAATGATGCATGATGCAATATCCAGACCCAGCTTTTCACTAGGATCAAATGAAAACCTACAAGAGGTTACAGGGCAAATAGTAAGCTGCTTGCCATACAGTTTTCTCCAGTTGATCACAACACAATTTAGAACATAATTATTAGGATCTGGAGCCCAGACCCGACTATAGTGGGATTCAACTGGGTTGTTGTTGTTATTAGGATCTGGAGCATAACAATCATGATATTGTCTATTATAGCCTTATAGGTTATTACTCTATTCATAATCCCACAGTGCACGTTAACATACATGTAAGGATTGACTGATTTAGATACAACATCAGAAGCCAGAGAACTATGACCAAATTGGACAATGGTAGAAAGTGACAAAAAATGCCTATAATTGTAAACCAAATTCCATAGAACAATTCAAGTAAAATAATACTCCTGGTCCAGGATAGAAGCTTTCACTAGTTTTTATGGTATTGAATTATTTTTTATCCATGAGCATAAAATTCGTTTCTGATTATAAGCAGTTCACCTCCACTCATCAACTCTCAAGTAAATGGAGGCGCAGATCGAGTACGAATGAGTTATGCGGTTTATGCCTTAAAAAATACCCTTGCTAACGTATTAGTTTGATCTGGGAAATAACAAACCTGAACAGATGAGTATTATGGCTCACCAGTGCCCTGTCTTCCAGCTTAAATTCAATCCACTGGTTAGGATTAAGAGCTGAAAATAAATATGGGAGTTAGTGGAACAAAGTAGCCATTCTGTTTCTTATTGCACCAGGATTCTGTAACCAGCCTGATTTTGCACAAGATGACAAGAGACAGCAAGAAAAACAAAAGATAACTTGATGTCTAGATCACATGATCATTAACTAAGAAAAAAAGGTCTTTCTTAGCTTAATGCACATTTGACCCTTCATAACGCTAGTTGTAACTTGTAATCTCTAATCAAGTATTGGATGGCTTCCTTAAGTGATTAAAATCAAACTTCTAAAATAAAATGAAACCATAAGAATTGGGTCAGAGAAAGATACTGACCTGTTTTTTGGGTTGTATCTTCATTAATCTGGTCCATATATGCCTACACTTAAAGAAACTATAATGTCAGCATGTTTAGCTTTGTAGTCTGTACAAAATAGAAAAAAAAAGGTCTAGCTTCCAAGCTCGTATGAAATGCAATGGGTCTTAGTAACTGTCTAGAGTTACACTCTCGGGAAAAAATGCAATGGATCTTAGTAACTGTCTAGAGGCCTTCTGGACTGCATTCGTGCATTACCAATAATTCAACACTCAAATAACCTTGTTGATTATATTCTCTATAATCCACAAGACATGACATTTATACAGAAATAGCATGACTGAAAATTTACAAGACATTCTGCACTTTAATGATTCCAATTAAAAAGTCCACTCCAAAGTTCAATAAGAAAACGCTCATCAACGATCAATCTTCAGCTTTTTTGTTCCTCTTCTTATATGCTTCCGAGTTTTTTATGCTCATCAATAACCTCCAACAAATAACTCAAAAACTGCATAGTGAAATCCCGATGAAGGTGAAACGAGAAATTACCAAATTGGGCGAAGAGAAGAGGTAAAAGTAGGAGGCTCCACCGGCTACCGCCGCAATAGCACCTAAGGGGAAGCGAAATCCGGCGAAGCTTGACTTGTTGGATTCGCATCGAGAAGCCTGAGAAAATGCGATCGGCGCCGCCTTCGCCAGCCTCTTGAACAAGAACGCCATGCTAATGTTTCGTGGTGGAACAGAGCGGCGAGGTTCCAAGATTTCAGTAGAGTGAGAAAATTGAGATGAAATCTAGTACTGTAAATCTACTCTACCATGGGGGTTTTCTCCTGCATATAGGGATGGCCGGATGGTACCGGTTCAGGCAATTTTTGGACCGGACCGAGTATTAGGGGGGTGGGAGGCAGAGGGGTTCGGTCAAAAAATGCTTATAAACCATTTTAAATTTCTATGTAAATTAGTTTTTTCATTTTCAGTCTTGATTATACTCCCTCCGTCCCCAATTTGTTTACAAATTGCGGGTTACAGAGTAAAATTTTTACTTTTTAAAATCATTTTATTTACAAATTGATATATCAATAAGATATAAAAATTACATATTAAAAAACTACGTCAAAAGTTCTACAAAAAAAGAGATGACAAGAATATTTTATTTTATTAAATACTTAATGAAATCGCGTAAACAAAAGTTATCAAGAGAAAAGAGAAAAAAATTATAATCTATTTAGGAACGGAGGGAGTATTATTTATAAAATTGTCCCTTACTTTTTGTGAATATTTCCAAATGAATTATCATTTTACTTGCACGAAAAAACATTTATAACTTATAAGCAGCATATATATAAGATAAAAAAATTACTTATCAATAATAAATTAATAAGTAGCATCACTAGAAAACACGCATTTTCTTTGTCCCGAAATGACTTACATTGTTACTATTACAATTTTTTTATAATTATGTGCATGTTTTCATTGATTCTACAATAAAATAAAATATTTTTACCACCTCTTGTTTTGTACTCGAGAGCAAAACTTTTGTTATAATTTTTTCAACATATAATTTAAATTTCAAGACAATAGAAGTATATAGCTTCAAACTGTTTCATCTCCCTATTATCCAATATCTATCTCATGAACTCATGATTCACATATTTCGATAGTTTAAAGATCAACAATGGCAAATTTATCGTGTGTATCATTCCTTGCCTAAAATAACCCTACAATGGAATACCCAAAGAAAAATACTTGACTAATACTCTCCAATGGAGGTATATTATTTACCTAGTCTTTCGACCAAACCCAAAGTCTTCATTGAGATGGAAATAAAACTTTTGTTGTGAACTAAATAGAATTCAGTACTCTGTAATAGCCAAATTTTGACTAGGAGAATAACAATAAGATGGTCATAACCGGATGTTTCACCGGTTCCGCCGGTTCAATCAGAATTTGAACTGGTTGGCCATTGCCCCTTGGCCCCACCAGCCTTGCGGGCTACCTGGACCTGACCGGACCGGTTTGTAATACAATGGTGTTTCAAGGAGCAACCGGTTCAGCAGCACCAGCCGGAGGAGGAGGACACAAACCGGCTACAACTTTGGAAGCGAAGCAGCAGCTTGCTGTGTAGGTTGTGTTTCATCCCCATTAATTTTGCCATTATGAGCCCACGAGAAGATGAGATGATGGGCAATTGCGTAGGGTCCTGGGACAAACATAGGAGCAATCTTGTCGCTTTCGGCATTTAAGGTCGTGGATGAGTTCGGCTCTTTCTCGGTGCCCCCATTGCACATCTGGTCTACCTTTGCTGCAGTTGTCTTTTGTGCCTTGTGGTACTCCGCGTAAGTGAGTGCCTTCTTCACATCTTCTCTCTTGTGCCACTGAGCATCTATACAGGAAAATAAAATGGGTTTCAACAGGCAACAAATGGGGAGAGAGAGCTCAAAATTTGTAATGAAATTACCTTCCAATTCTTCCTTGTCCACTTCTATATCAAGTGATTTGGCATATGCGAAAAACCCGATCATTAGCTGGCACGGCATACTACTAGGTCCAACTACAAGAAAACAATAACCATTATTTTGGGAAATTATGTGGGTGTTTATCTGTGCTTATAAGCTGGTCAAAACTGCTTATAAGCAGTTTTTAACTTATAAGTCAGTTGCTAACATGTTTCTCTATGCTTATAAGCTAACTTATAAGTTGCTTATAAGCCAAAAAAATTAAATAGGTCTTACCTAATTATTTGTAAGCCAGCTTTTTAGTTTCTCCGTTTTGACTAAATTATTTACAAAATTGTCTCTCACCATTTATAAAGAGTAAATTCCATAAAAGGCCCCCAGTTATAGGTCATTTTACATATTTAGTCCCTACATATCAAATATTACTAATTTAGTCCCCAATTATTATATTCATTTCTACAAATAGTCATTTGTTAACATTTTTGCTAAGAACGTGGATAAAATTGTAAATTCACACTTCTTTCTCTCCTCAATTAAGTTTCCTCCCTCCCCTCACACTCCTTTCTCAAACTCGTCGCTGAGTTTGAAGCTTTGAACCCAAAACCGAAATCATCACTCTTTTCTCAATTGTTTGTAGAACTGGTGGAACCCAAATTCGAAACCAGTAACCTTCATGGATGAGTTTTAATGTTTATTTTCTTTGCAATTTCTTGAGACTAACCGATAAAACTCATCCATAAAGCTTATTGGTTTTGATTTTAGGTTCCATCAGGAAGACTAATAATTGAGAGAGAAGTGATCATTTCAGTTTTGGATTTAGAGCTTCAAACTCATAGACGAGTTTGGAAAAGAGTGCGAGATGAGGGAGGAAGCTTAATTGAGAAGAGAGAGAAGTATGAATATACAATTTTATTCATGTTCTTAACAAAAAAGTTAACAAAGGATTATTCGTGAAAAATGATATAATAATTGGAGACTAAATTAGTAATATTTGATATGTAGGGACTAAATATGTAAAACGACCTATAACTGAGAACTTTTTATGAAATTTACTCATTTATAAATATTTCCAAATGACTTACCTATCTTTTAAGTCATTTTACTTTTACAAAACAATATTTGGCTTATAAGTAGTTATAAGTTAAAAACTATTTATTAGCAATAAGCCAATACGCACCAGCACACAAAAACACCCCCTTTATCTTGTATTCCTAACAAGATAATTATTTTGGGACTTCTTCTATAAAGAACCTAATGATTCGGGACGGGAGGAAATTAGGGGAAAGAAATTTATAAAGGAAAGCGTACCAGGCCAAGGCTGAGAACTATGGTACACTACTTCACCAACTTCAATGCCAGTTTCCTCCAATGTTTCTCTTCTAACTGCCTCTTCTAAGCTTTCCCCTGGCTAATAACAAGTGCAGGAAGAAAAGATTAATTATGGCATTCAACGGGAATAAAAAGATGGATAAGCTGTTGATTGTACCTCCATAAAACCAGCGAGGCAGCTCCACATGCGGGGCACAAATCTTGACTGCCTACTTAATAGTGCACGGTCATTTTCTTTATCTATGACTAACATGATCACAACCTGTTCCAAGGAAGCCCCACATATATAGTTGATATTCAGCTCATTTGGGCATTTCAAACTTGTATGGTCCTATGCAACAGATATGAGTGTACCGGATCAACTCGAGGGTAAACTTTTTTCTTGCACGACTCATTCAAGCACTGCTTTCTCTTCCCAGCATCTGTAGGAACATTCTGGCTTCCACAAAACCCACAAAACCGTGATACACCATGCCATTCAAGAAGTGCCCTGGCCTGACAGTGTTCCAAAATTAGTACCATTAAAGACATATGGCGTATGAGGTTTCCAAGTTAGGATAGCAACATTTCGGTGTGAAATTAGAGAGAGTAGTACTAATGGCAACACTGTTTACATGAGCGGTATGAACAAGCAAAAGAAATTTATGCAGATCCAATTGGCATTCATTTGTGTTCTTTAATCAGTTAAATGAACACAGACAAAACACTTTAGAGCTCAATTAATTAATGAACACGGAGATTGAACAATAATATGATGAACAACCCACTGGACTTCAATTATACGTACTCATGAACAAGCCTGTTTGTTTTTATATGCTGAGGTTCTTTAATACTCATTCTGTACTCAAATGAAGATTACACTCTCCTTTTTTGATATCCCAAAATGAAGTTTACATCTTTCCACATTTCCTTTTAAGAAATGGTTGTGGCCCTTATAATTTCTCCCTATTCTGAATAAATTTCAACCACACACATTTCACTTTTCACCAAACACCTTTCACTTTTCACTTTTCAACACTTCATAAATTTCAACCACACACATTTCCTTTTTTGATATCCCAAAATGAAATTTTATTTTAACGAACTGAAAATTTCATTTTAAAGAACACGAACAGATAGATTCATCAATTAAGCAACACGAACAATCACCAAACTAAACTATTGATGCTAAAACTTGGATCTTGAAACAGTCATAGGCTCTCACACTTGCTCAGTGTCGACCCTTTAATATATCATTAAAAATCATCAAATTTTACAACCGAACATCATTTAAGTGCAAATATGAGAGTTGAGAAGCCACACTCACATGGCCAGCAACTGCGAGTTCGGCCATGGCATGAGAATCTGCCCAATCCGAAGCCATCATCAAAGTCCTCAATTCAACAAAGCAAAGCTGTCTAGCACCCAATGCTTCCACCAACCCGTCCCCGCACTCGGACACATCAATAGCCCAATACACCACGGCACTTCGATTGTCGCCCTCCTCATCCTTAGACCCCAGATAAACAAATGAATCATCACCCAGTTTCTGATTACAATCCTCCAACAAAACCCTACAGTCACCGAAATCCAACCAGCCCAGCCGCCAATTAGGGTCTGGTCTGCCGGAGGAGCCGGCCAAAGGGCGGCCCTTTCTGAAAGGCAAGATCTTGAAATTGGAGGAGAGGGGTAGATTTAAGTCAGTCCTACCGGAGACAATGTTTTTCAAGGTCTGGAGAGCTGAAGATGATGAAAATGGGTCGGTGGGTTTTGGGGTCCTGAGTTTGATGGGGTTGCCGGAAAAGGCGTGGGAGTGGAAGGTCATGGACATGGCGGGAACGAGGATCCAAGATTTGTGGGCTATGAGGGTTTTAGACAGAGATATGAGATGACCTGCAGCGGTGGTTGTGGAGGAAGAGAGAAGAAAGTGCATTTCTCGCCGGGAAGGACAGAAAAACTATCCAACTTCCAATGGGAAAGCACCTCCTTGGCTGGCGGTCCGCCGCCCCGCGCGCGGGCTTCGGAAATGTCGACGTGACACGTGTAGCTCTTGATGAGGGTAGCTTCTTCCATCAACGGTGGTCCTGTGGTCACCCTCATGGCCACGTAGTTTTTGTCAAAAGCTACTCATAACCACATTCGGAAATGCCGACGTGATACTGTTGTTTGGATATGGGGGGTTTTACTCAGTAATTAATTACGGAGTACTATTTGACAAATAGCTATTTTGCCTAGCGGATGGAATCGAATAGCCAATAATCCAAATGCTGGGATGAGTAGTATTTTTGAAGAATAATGATTTTCTATATTGATCTTGTGGAGTCAAGCCCCGTATATATACAAATCACAAGTCTCCTAATTATGGTAGGATATAAATAAAAAAAGTCTATACAAAGAAAACCTACTATATATAATAAATATTAAATATACATAATATATTTAACATGCTCCCAACTACGTGACCGGTGAAGGGTGGATGCCAAGACTGTGCCTGAAGTTGAAGAAGAGAAGAGATGGTAGCCATTTGGTAAAGTTGTCGGCAGAGCAACTTTGTCACTGACAAAGTGTATGTCAACCTCTACGTGTTTGGTGCGCTGATGCTGAACAGGGTTGGACGATAGGTACACAGCATTGACGTTATCATAGAAAACCAGTGTGGTACAACGCAGAGGTTGATGTAACTCAAGAAGGAGGTTCTGAACCCAACTTGCCTCAGCCACGGCGTTTGCAACAGCTCGATACTCAGCATCAGCACTCGAACGGGGTGTAGTGGCTTGTCTCTTGGAGGACCAAGAGATGAGGTTGTCGCCAAGGAAAACACAGTATCCGGAGGTAGAGCGACGAGTGTCTGGACACCCTGCCCAATCAGCATCAGAGTAGGCCTGTAAAGAATCTGTACGGGTGCGGTGGAGAGTTATCCCATGAGTGGTAGTGTCGTGTAGGTAGCGGAGGACATGCTTTATGGAAGTGAGATGAGTGATGTGGGGGGGCATGAAGGTGGAGACATAACTGTTGTACGGCATAGGTGAGATTAGGGCGTGTGAATGTGAAGTACTACAAGGCTCCAACAATGGACTGGTATAAGGTGGGATCGGAAAGTGTTGTGCCGGAGGAGGCCCCGAGTTTTGCCTTTGTATCAACAGGGGTGGAGATGGGCTTGCAGTAGAGCTTGTCTACATGTTCAAAGATCTCACGGGCAAACTGAGTCTGATGAAGAAAGAGCCCTCCTGTAGTACGCTGAACATTGATCCCGAGAAAGAAATTTAGGTCACCCATATCTGTCATAGCAAACTCCCCCTTGAGCTATTGAGTGAGGCGCTGGAGTAAAGAGGATGAGGAGGCGGTGAGGACAATGTCATCCACATAGAGAAACAGATATGCCATGTCATTCCCACGAGTGTAGACAAAGAGAGATGTATTGCTCTTACAGCCACGGAAACCCAATGTAAGGAGAAAGCCTGCAAATTGGTGATACCAAGATCGGGGAGCTTGCTTAAGGCCATATAATGCCTTTTTCAACCTGCACACATAATGGGGCTGCGTGGGATCTTGGAAGTCGGATGGTTGACTCGCATACACTGTCTCCTGAAGTGTGCCGTGAAGGAAAGTATTCTTCACATCCAACTGATGAATCGGCCATCCTCGTGAAAGGGCAAGGCTGAGGACAATACGAACTGTGGCCGGTTTGACAACCGGACTGAAAGTCTCATTATAGTCAATTTCGAAGCGCTGATTGAATCCACGGACCACCCACCGAGCTTTATACCTGGACAGATCACTCGTAGGGCTAAATTTGTGGTGGAAGAGCCACTTACCAGTGATAACATTTTGTGTGGGGGAGGGGGGGGTACAAGTCCCATGTATTAGTCTTTAATCAAAGCATTAAATTCATCACACATAACATCATACCAGTTTTGGTCCTTAAGAGCACTACGATAGGTAGAGGATAGTGGGGAGATTTGAGCTATGGTGCTGAGATCTAGGATGTGTTCGGGACGGGTTATGCC